ACAGAGCATGCAAGCTACTCCTGCTAAACCTGTGGAGTTTCCACCCCAAAACCCACAAATTAATCCTGCATACCCGAGTGGGTTGAGGCACCAGCCTGTTCGTTACCCACCTCAAAGTCCACAAGTCTCTCCAGCCGAACAACATCCTGGGACGTACCATCGGCCGCCCAATATGCCTCCCAACTTCCCCCCTACTGTTGCACAGCCAACCTTTCATCAATATTCCTCCCCAACACAGCCACCGGAAACACAATTTCCTCAACAGAATGGTCCACAAGGGACTTATGTGGGCACGACCATCCCACCTTTACCTTACCAACCTCCTATTGGCACCATGTCCGGGATTCGGATGCCGGGCCAACGTCCAGAGGGTTGGAGGACTGGCTTGTTTGATTGCCTGGAAGATCCAACGAATGGTACTAAATTAAACTCTAAAGAGCATTTTCTTCTTCCGAACACAAACATAGTTTTTGAAATTCAACTTGTCCGTTATTTAACGACTTGGATTGCTCATTCTATGTTTTACCTCTGGTAACGGCCTTCTTCCCTTGCTTGACGTTTGGCCAGATCGCAGAAATTGTAGACGACGGTCATACTTGTAAGTAGAGAAAATCTCACAAGAAGTTAATTTTTAGGTTGATCGGTTCTTATTAAAATATGTCTACTTAATTGTACAATTCCATGCAGCTTGTGGAATGAGTGCACTGCTTTATGGATTATTGGCATTCACTATTGGGTTTCAGCGTATATTGTCGCGCAGATATCGCACCAAACTTAGAAACAAGTTTTCACTTGCTGAGTCCCCAGCACCAGATTGGGTTAAGCATTGCTTTTGTGAGCGTTGCGCTCTTTGTCAAGAATACAGGGAGCTCCGACAAAGAGGTTGGGATCCAGAGATCGGTAAGAGCCATTAAAAAAAAAAAAAATTCGTAGTTTGCGTGCAGCGTGAGGATAATTAACCTGCGTAAAATAAATGTAGAAATATTTATGCAACGAATTAAATATCATTAATGAATAAATATATATAGTTGATTTATTAAATATATTTAAATAATTTTATAAGTTTTCTTGCATTTTTTTTTCTTACCGATTGACTTAAACAATACTTTAATGATAAATTAATTAATTTTTAAGATAAAAAGACTTAAAATAAAAAGTTGAGATTCACTTATATACAAGTTTTAAACATTATATTTATATAAAATTTTAATTATTTATCT